CACACACACACAGGAGAAAACTCRTGCTGGGCTGTGGAGTCAACCCCAGACTTGAGTGAGCAGCAGGACCCCACCTCCAGCCGCTGGTCACAGCTCCTGGTGCAGTGCTGGCTGACATCCAGAGTGACAATGGCTCCRCTGGGGAACTTCATGCTGATGGCAACTGTGTCCACATCCTTCAGGCAGCCCATGTCTGCGGACAAAACAAGCCTGGCTCACCCCAGGAACAGCAAAGCACCACATTCTATAGMTACAAACTGCTCTTTTTCCTTTGGGAGGTGACACTGGCTCTGTGACACCTTCCCACAGGGCACACTGGTGACAGCACTATGGCTGCTACACCAGCATTCTTGATGGAGAACAGGCAGCTCCTGCAGGAACACACAGCCCCAGGCCCAACTCCACCTTCCCAGCCTGCAGCTCTCCCTAACGAGGGCACCCACCTCTGCTTCCAGACATTTGTCTTTGCAGCTCATTCCAACCAGCATCAGGCAACTTCCAGCACGTTGCTGGAGTGAGGCAGAGGGTACAGAACCCTCCTGGAGGGCTCTTGTTTGCTGCATTTCAACACTGTGCCACGGAGGAGAGTGTTGCATCCTGCTCCTGCTCACCCCAGCCAGCCAAGCTTGGCAGCTGCTGCAATTACCTTAATTAAAACTCTGCATTTCCATTTAAAAAATGGCAGCTTCCATCTTTTATGGTTCGTTTAAATGAGTGTGGTAACCCAGAGCGTGCCCATCAGCCTGACACGGCCCAGAGCAAACTCACAAACTTGTGCTGGGATCCACAGAKAAAGGCCACAGGAAGCAGAGAAGGAACATTTCATTGACATTCTTGTGAGCTCAAAGCTTTGCCCAATATTTTCTGCACTTTGTTTTCACCTGGTGTCCTTCAGAGTAATGTTCAACAATAACTTCACAGCAACTGCTTCATATCAGCAGAAAATTCACCAAATTCAGAGATCCTCACCAAATACCACTGAGGAATCTGCCTTCTGTTTCACCAACCTGTTTTTTCAACTGCTCCATGATGGAAAAACTGTCATGGCTACCTATGCTCTTGCTTGCTCTTTCTTCCTGGGTTTAACACTGAAGTCCAGAGGTACCCAATAAACCATCAAAAGACTMATTCTTACCTGCACAGAAGGCATGGCCCAGGGAAAATATTGTATCTGGCACACTCTCTCCCAACAAYAAACTGATAATATCTATGTCATGCACAGCAGCGTTGTAAAAAATYCCACCTGGAAGAACCAAAACCAGGCATTAAATTCTCCACACTGAAACCCACAGTCAGTGTACATTTCTGAACTGCATGGAGATGGTATAAAAAGCCTCCACGGGGTGGAGAGACAAACGGGACAAAAAAATGCACAGAAATTAAGTTTGGTAAAGAAAACACTCCTTAAAAAAAAAAAAAAAAAACATGGATCTTAAGGCTATACCAACACAGGGGAATTCCCACAGAGGAATTTCCAGGCTGGATTGGCTGGAGCTTGAATCAGCCTGGTCTGGTGGAACGTGTTTCTGCCCATGGCAGGGGATGGAACAGATGAGCTTTAAGGTCCTTTCCCACCCAAGTGACTCMAATTCAAACCTAGACTTCAGCAGGAAGCTGCTGGGTACCTGAGGCTTTCAGGAGGCTCAGAGAGGCTGCTGGATAGAGGCTGCTGATGGTGGATATCCGACGGATCCTGCCCAGGGCCCGGCTGTCCCGCACCTTCTTGTACAAGAACTGCAGGGCTGGGTCAAAGCGCCTTCCAAGAGAAACAAGGAATGAGGTGAAACCAACTTGATTTGAGGACAAAGTCAGGACAGCCTGATGAATCAGGGCTGCTTGCAGACACGTGATTTTATCAAGAATAAAGCAGAGGAAAACTACTGGTCTTACTTGTAGAAGCCACACACGAGTGGCCTCCGACACTTGTCGGCCTCATCGAAACAGGTTTCTGCTGTCTGCCTGTCCAAGCTGGGCAGCCCCTCGCAGAACACACCTTTACCTGTGCAAAACAGGACAGAACCAGGGCTCAGTGGAGAGCTGTACAAAACACCTTGATCTTGCAGTAATAGAYACAGTTCATTACATGTCTGGTTTTTGATGGCATTTACTCCCTTCTGGCTGCCTGCCACGGTGTCAGCCATTCCAGACCCCTGGAGTGGGTCTGTTTTGGTGACAGCTTTTCTGTGACTCCTGGTGGGATTTTAGGATGAGACACTGCTCAATCACACTGGTGCCAGCTCAGCACAAACTCCTCTGGTGTCCAGCCATTAACATCAGTGTTAGCAGTGATCTCAGTCACTTCAATCACACAGTGAGAAAGTCTGCACAGCTCCAGGGCTGCTGCTGAAACATGAACACATTCACAGGGGCACACCAACGGGCACAGAGAAAAGCTGAATGTGCAGCTGCTCCYCTTACCTGCTCGTAAGGCTTCTTTKACCATCTCAGGGGCTTCRTCAGGTGGAGAACAWATAATGGCTCCAGAGACYCTGCAGGAATCAAGAGAGATCTTCAGTGAGGATGAGGTTTTTATTAAATGCTCAAAATCTTCTTTTGGTTACAGTTAAAAAAGCCTTAAACCTCATCGCTCTAGAAGAGCCAGCTGGRTTATAGAAGGARCTCTGYTTCAAGGATGAAATACRGAGACACAGGTTAAAATCACAAGTRCCACAAARGAATTGCACYGCTTTTCCTGCMTCTTAAAGGAGAAAGTCTTTTAAAGGTGTCCTTGAAAAAGGAGTTRAATCCTGCCAGTTAAAACACACAGAGAAATCTGAACTATTCATGTGGTACAACTGCTGAAGAAGTGATTAATATATCCTAGCTTACTSTGATTCTTTACTTTCTAGTGTCAAATCAGTCTTTTTAAAAAGCTCTGCCTTTTGCTCCTAAAATACTTAAAACACCAACTTTAGCTCTGTAACAACATCACTAAAATGTTGTTCAGCTGAACTGTAAAGCAAAACTCCACAATCCTCCCCATGTACACTGACCTCACTTAACTCAGAGAGTTCTAACAGCCACCCAATGCAGCCAACTGCTCTGAGACAGGAAAACTGGCATTTATTACTGTTCTGTGAGAATGGAGGAAAATTGAGATTTTATATTCTTAACAAAACTGCCCGTAACTAAATTCTTTCAAGCTCCCATTGATTCGGGGGATATGAGCCCAAAKAAGCTTCTCAAGGATTTCTGAAGGACCCTTGGGTAGGTGACAGAAGCCAGAAGCACAGTCTGGGATTGCTACAGAGTTTGCCAGAGGGGAAGGCAACACTTGTATGGAACCCCCCACCCTGAGCAGAGCCACACAGAGGAGCTYGTGGCCRTCAGTACCGTGGATCTCCGAGCGCRACGGCGGCGTCCTGCTGCCGCAGAACCCTGGTGCCAGCCGGGACCTCGGCACCAAAGGCACGTTCCACCTCCTCCGGCCGATCCTCCACCACRTACAGCAGGCAGCAGCTCGTTTCCTCCATCAGGCTTTGCAACAGGGCTTTGCTCACGAGCCCTGCGCCGAAGAGCACGAGGCCAGCGCCGCTGCCACCGTGACATGAGAAGGGTGCCGGGCTGCTGGAGGCATCGGGTGYAGCCCCACTTTGGCCAAGAGGTGTAATGCCAGTGTGGAAGGTGGCCAGGGGTGAGGGGTGGCCAGCAGAGGTGGAGGGCGTTGGGTCATCCCTCTGTGTGGCGGTGATGGGGTGGTGGGGAACCAGCATCTTGTGGTAGGAGGGCGGGGARGGGACCATGCTGTAGCTGGTGCTGGATCCAGCGGTGACGAAAGAGGGATGGGAGAGCAGGGAGGGCACGTCRAGTGGCAGCGGCAGGCTCAGGCTCAGGCTGGAGTCGGGACTTGCAGAGCTGAGGAGACAGAGATCAGAGARTATYCTGAGCTGGGAGGGACCCACAAGGACCACCGAGCCCARMTCYTGACCCTGCACAAAAACACCCCAAGAACGCCACCCTGCATCTGAGGGTGTTGTCGAAATGCTTCCTGAGTGGGGCTGGGTGAGACAGATAATTAAAGAATCATTAARGTTGGACAAGAACTCCAAGACCATCAGGTCCAACCTCTGAGCAATCACCTCCTTGTCAACTAAACCACAGYACTAAGTGCCTTCCACAGCTCCTCCTCACAGGACTGAYTCYCCRAACCCTTCCCCAGCTCCGTTCCCTTCTCTGGACATGCTCCAGCCCCTCAATGTCTCYTTTGTAGTGAGGGACAGAACTGGACAYGGCAYTCGAGGGGCCACAGAAGTGCCCAGCACAGGGGGACAGGCACTGTCTGGGTCTGCTGTTCTGGGGTTGGGTGAGACTGAGAKGGGGTGAGGGATGCAGAAAAGGGTACCCCAAGCAGGGATCGGTTGGGTGAGATTGAGATGGGGTGGGTGAGGCAGGGAAGGGCCGAGTGAGGCCGAGATGGGGTGGAGGAGCCCGAGATGGGGTCGGTTGGCTGAGACAGAGATGGGGTGGGTGAGGCAAAGATGAGATAGGTGAGGCAAAGGGTCGGATGAGCCCCAGTAGCGGTCAATCGGCTGAGGCAGAGATGGGGCAGAGGAGCACAAGAAGGGGTCGGTCGAATGAGGCAGAAATGGGGCGAGGGAGACAGAAATGAGATGAGGGAGGTAGAAATGGGGCAAGGGAGGGATAAATGGGGCGAGGGGGGCAGAAATGGGGCCGGGGAGACAGAAAGGGGGCGAGGGAAGCAGAAATGAGCAAGGGAGGCAGAAATGGGGCTGGAGAGGCAGAAATGGGGCGAGGGAAGCAGAAATGAGCAAGGGAGGCAGAAATGGGGCTGGAGAGGCAGAAATGGGGCGAGGGGGGCAGAAATGGAGCGAGGGAGAGAGATATGGGGTGAGGGAGGCAGAAATGGAGCGGGGGAGGCAGAAATGAAGCGGGGGAGGCAGAAATGGGGCGAGGGAGGCAGGGAAGGGCCGGAGGAACCCGGGAAGGGCCAGAGGAACCCGGGAAGGGCCAGAGGAACCCGGGAAGGGCCAGAGGAACCCGGGAAGGGCCAGAGGAACCCGGGAAGGGCCAGAGGAACCCGGGAAGGGCCAGAGGAACCCGGGAAGGGCCAGAGGAACCSGGGMAGGGSYMG